ACGTCCTCTTTTAGAATTGCTACATTTTAAAGCCTCTGAGTGCTTTGTGTTTGTTTTGAGACAGGATTTCACTGTGTAGCTCTGGTTGACCTGAAACGTGCTACATAGACCGACCAGGCTATATAACTCACAGAATCCACCTGCCTCTGCCTCCTGAGTGCCGGATTCATCACCATTATGTCCAGCCTACTTTTGAATCCTGGATTCTCTCATTTAACAATTAGTAGTCGACCAAAGCATTACAGAAGCAAAGGCTATCATTAGCAGCCAGAATATTTGTGCCAAGTGGCCCTGCCTTCCTTTAAGTTGCTCAGCATCAGCAGACCAGTGAGTGGGGAGGTGAGTGGATGTGGAGTGCCGTGCTGGAGGGGGAGCAGAGGCCTGTGCAGCTCAAGGCTTGACGCTGGAGAGCGGCTGCTTTCCTTGCCACCCGTATCTTCACAGGACGAGTAAGTAAAACCTTTGTCTTCCCCAGATGAGAAATTAGAGGACAGAGCAGAGGGTTTGTCAGACAGGAGTTAGAACTCACGTGCTCAGAGAAGTAACTTATCTTCTAAGTTACCAAGGGTTTGCCTTGTGCTATCACCCCTCCTGAGAAACAGAAATCCTGAGAAAAATAAAAGCTTCTCCTGAGCCCTCCCATGTTCAGAAGCATCTCTCACTGGAGCCGTTGGACAGCAGACTGCTCTGTGAAGCTGACCCTACCGGGAGCACACCACTATCAGCTTTGGTTACCTTTTGAATTTTACTCCCTCAGCTAAATCTCTTGCACAATTTTCTTATCCCCCAAAATAAGCTTTTTTAAATCAAGAGTCTAAATATAAAATAGGCCTATTATAAAAATGGCCTATGATTAAGAAGACACTTAAAGGGTTTTTTTTTTTAAATTACAGCTTTTATGTGTGTGTGGTGGGGGTGGTTTCAAAGATCAGAGGGTAACTCGTAGAAATTGATTCTCTCCTTCGGCCCTGGGGTCCTAGAAATCAAACTCAAGTCATAAGGCTGGACAGCAAGCCCTCCACCCGCAGACACTTCTCACCTACCCACATCCTTATTTTTTATCTCAATTCCACTGGTTGCACAACCTTACTTGCTTAACCTCTCTGGTTTCAATCTCATCTGTAGGGTTGGTTGTATGTAAAGCACACGACAGTCTCCCTTGTTTCAGTGGCACTTCCCTGATGACATCCTGTGTGCTCATTTCTGTGCCAGGCCTGTGACAACACTCTGCTATCTTCTTACTTCTCATCTTCTGGCACTTTGCCTTCTCGCTGAGTGTTCCACCTTAGTTTTTACAATGAAACAGCAAAGGTATAATTAAAATACCAGGGGCTCGAGAGATGACTCAGCAGTTAAGAGCATGTCCTGCTCTTCCAAAAGACCTGAGTTTGGTTCCCAGCAACCAGATTGGGCTGCTCCAGTCTGAGTACAGCAACCATCTAACTCCAGCTCAGGAGATTTAGAGATCTGTCCTCCACAGGCACCTGCACACATGTGTGCATACACACATACAAACATGTACACATAAAAACAAAATAATAGAAATAAAATGAAAACTTATAATAAGCTAATTATTAGAAGCTCATTTTTAAATTTCCTATCAAAGGCCTTCATGAAGAGTCTTGTTAATGTTAGCCCAGCCCATAGGCTGTCGTTAGTTTAGTCTGATAAACAGCTTCCACAGAACCAGGTTTCCTTAGCCATATTGTAGGTATGGAAGTTCCTTCCCCTGGGTATTTTAAGCTAGACTGAGTATCCCACAGAGCTGGATCTTGCCAGACAAAGGTTTAGTCGCTAATGTCTATGCCATACTTCTAGAGGTAATGTCACATGAATAGAGATGATTCTCTTTCTCCCCTGTATGTTTTCAACTAGATGACATTTACTGGGAAGGAAAAAGGCCCATTTTTTTTGTAGTGTAGGCCAATTTTCAGTCTACCACATATTTAAAGTGCATTCATTTAACAAATGAAGCTCCAAGCTTCAGGACTGGAGTTGAGGCAATTTCTTTATTATGCTTTATTTATTTTCTTTATTATGGGTTAAATTCTGTTAGCAGAGCCTGGTGGGAGTGAAGGGGCAAAATGAATGGCCATTCGTCTTATGCTCGAGAATGTCCAAGGGTTAGGAGAACCTGAGCTCTTATGCAGCTGACCTTGAGGCGAACAGAACAGAGCGGTGAATGTCCTAAGGATGAGAATTCAGTCAGAGAGATAGCCAGTTCCTCATTTCATTAAAAACCAAAAAGCAAAGGCAACAAGAAAACTAAAGTGTATTTTAGATTCTTAATACTATCTTTTTCCTTTAACTTTCATAATAACTAGTCATAGCCATTTTATCTACTGAAAATTAATTTATTTTATATATAAAATATAGTATAACAATGATATTTTACAAAAATTAAATGAAAAACATTTAAGATAAAATGGGAGTTGAAGGGCAGAGAAAGAAGGCATAGGCTCCGTTTCTTTTTAATTTTTGTTTTATGTTTGTTGGTGATTTGCCTGCATGTATGGCTGTGTGAGAGTGTCAGATCTTGGAGTTACAGACAGTTGTGAGTTGCCATGTGAATGCTGGGAATTGAACCCAGGTCCTCTGGAAAGACCAGTCAGTCCTCTTACATGCCAAGCCATCTCTCCAACCCTGAGGGTAGGCTCCCTTTTGAGTTATATGATCCCACACTGTGGCTGTTAAGCCCTCTGGCATTCAAGATGCTTTCACTTAAAATCGACAAAGCTGATGAGCCGAAGGAAAGAAAGTCTCACTCCTTGACCATTACCCTAGAAGATTGGATCTGTAAATATGTTAATCTTTGAAATGACAGACATATGTGTATGTCAAATAATGTCTGAACTAACTAGAAAAACTTGCTTTACCACATGATTGTGGTATAAGTACCATTTCCTGAGAGCTTTTACATTGAAGGTTTGGGGCGTGTGTGTGTGTGTGTGTGTGTGTGTGTGTGTGTGTGTGTGTGTATGTGTATGTGTATGTGTGTGTTTTCAAATAAGTATTAGCCTTATTTAACTATGGGCCATGTGGGCTCCTAAGAATGTCACACCTTGTCTATGTCAATAAATCAGTGTGTCCATTCTTGTTACTAAATCTGATGTCATTGGCAGATTTTCCTCTCTGTTGGAAGGGTAACACTCAGAAATGAGAATTTTTAAAATGTATTTCTTCTCTCTGTGATTGGGGTATTTTTGAGTTTTTAAAACTATGAAATAATAATGACAAGCCCCAAGAAAACTGAATCTGGATTTCATTTTGCCTTCGGACTATGTGATCTTAGGCACATTCCTGACATGTCACAAGCAGCTCATGTCTCTGGATGTGCAGTGTCAGTTTTCAGTAGTTGAAAGCCCCAAAAGGAAACAGACTGATTTTCCACACACAAACAGCTGGGCAGCTGTGGATGGAATTAATTGCTGATATATATTGGCCGTGGTTTTCTTCTCCTGCCATTTCCTTTGCAGCTGTGAAAGTGAATTTTGACTTGAAAACAGATTTCCAGCAGCGTGAAGCCAACAGGTATTAAGAGAAGATTCTTCTAGTAAGTAATAAAAGCTGGCACCTTTGGGTGTGCAGTCCTGGGTGATGTGATGAGAGACAGCGGTTGGTAGCAGGTGACTCATAGTTACACAGATGGTGGGAAGTAACTAACCAGGCACCTGCACTGGGAAAGGAGGTTTGGAGTGGCTACTTTTTCGTTTCAGGGGTGACCTCATAATCCTAGAAAGGCTAGATTAGTGAATATCCTCTTCATAAGGTCCTTAAAGAAGGTGTTCCAGGCCATCTCTCAGAATAGTAAGATGTCCAGGATTCCACAGTGATCTATTCTTTCAGTATGAGGGGATAACAGTTGTGGAGGGTAATAAGACATTTATCATTAAACATTTGCCTGGGTTTCTCGCAAAACCTTTTCTGTTGTTTGTTTTACATTATATGTAAAAAATTCATGGCAACATTAAAAACACATGTTTGGATATTTTAATCAGAGAAACATATTTAATTGTATGATTATAGAATGAAAAATCAGCTTGCACCTCTGAGTATATATGTGCAGAAAGTGGTATTTGTTCAAAACCAATGAAATAATTATTGTTTAATAATAAATTTAATACTGAAAATTATTTTAAAAGATTTTTATATAGTACTTGTATTTGTATTCTAGAAAATATCTTATTTGGAAAAAAGTCATACAATAAAATTTTAAGCTAAAATTCTTATGAAATTTGTTAGTAGATTATTGTGAAAATTTTTGAAGTATGATTTATTTTAGTGATCATCAACAAAATTATTTTCTTTTTTATGCACACATTTAATGACATAACAAAGAAAGTCCATAAATCACATCCTTTTTCATATATATATATATATTATGTGTGTGTGTGTGTGTGTTTGCATGCGTGGGCTCATGTATGGAGATCTGATGACAACCTGTAGAAGTCAGTTACCTCTCTCCACCGTGTATGTTTTAGGAATTAAACTAAGGTCTTCAGACTTTGATCAGTAAGTGACCCTACCCAGGGAGCCGTCTACTTACTGGCATCCTTGTTTTGTTTGCTAATTGGAAATGTAATGCTTTTATTGTTTTGGTGTTGCTAAAAGTAGAGGATTGGTAAGAAGGAAAAAAATGGATAGTTTGTGTTATGTTTAAGTCCCCTAAAGTAATATTCTAGAGCAAGTGATGTTTCTGACACCTTGAGATATGTAAAAACTGCTGTTGCTAAACTTAGAAGCTGGCATGGTTGGACTTCCTTAACAGTAGTCCACTTCCACCTACCCGTGTATGCGCTGAGTTGCATGGGCTGCCTAATGAGTCTATCTCTTCTCAAAAAGAAATGAGCCTGGAGTTTGTGCCATGGCAGGAAAGCTGATCTACAAACATGGACTTTTCCTGTGTGACTCTGAGAAGAATTAACCAATGAATTTTGACTCTGGGGCCCTGGAAAATGCTGTGGCGATATTAATGTGCAGTTTGCTCTGACTGAAATCTGTCTGGGTGTGTTGTTTCCCCCAGAGTGGGCTCCACCCTTTCACTAACCACACTGTGTGGATATCTTGCTGCTTAAAACAAAGATCATTTTTAGGGCAGCATTGCATCAGAATTGCCACACGAAAACAAGTTTAAGAAATGTGCAGAGGCTTCGGGGGTTTTGTAAGTAGTGGCTTGTGTATTCTCTTCCCAATAGCTCCTAGCTTAGGTGGGAACAAAGCTGAGAAGGTTGGCTAGTCCTGTGCCCGGCACTAGCAGCATGCAGTACTTGTCTTTGGAAGTAAGCTATGGCTCTCACTCAACCAGTTATTTTATTTTAGGTCATTTGTCTGCTTTTTCTTTTCTTATGCTATTTATCTACTTGGTCTTACTCTTCTTTGTGGTTATCATTGACTAAAGGAAGGAAAATACTATAGTCTACCAAGTGTGCAAATTTTCTAATGTTAAAGTGTTAAAAGAAGAGTTTTGTACTGAATTTATTACTCACTTTTACAGCATAATTGGGCAGTACTGCATTTCGAGACATCGTGGCATGAACTTTGTGTGTAAGAGTGGGTTCATTGAATTAAAAAAAAGGCAGCCTCTAAAGGGCCTTTATTTCTGTCATAATGATGCTTTGTCCTATTGCTGTTGGGTATTTGTTGGAAGAGTTGGGGCAGGCTGCAGCCCAGAGTTCTGTTCCATGCCTGGGCAGTTCCGTCGGTTCCGTGCCTCTGTGTTCTCTCTAGAATTTGTGACGTGAATGGTAAGTTGAACTGTAGAAGAATTATTGTTCAGTGAGGTCTGTGTTGAGCAATTTTTTTTCAACCTCTCTTCTCAGAAGTCTGGGTTTTGTTTGTAGCTGGGTTTTAAATGCCTATAAAGTGTTCAATTATGTACTGACCAAAGTGGGCATGTTGAGAGAGGCCGAGATTTGTGATTTGCTCTCTGTTTATTTTTTCATTATTACTCTTTCAGGGGTAGACACACCCATTCAGTGCAGGCAAGTTTTAACAGCCTGCCTCCAGTTGAAATTCTACTCAAATGTTGAAACTGGCAGATTTCCGTAGGGCTTTTAGGGTGACATTTTGTCATCTTTTTTGTTCTTCAACTTCCTGTCAGCACCTTGCTTAAGCTTCCTCTATCACTCATTTATAGGTTAGCTGTCTTCTAACTTGGCCAGGAGGGAAGAATAAAGTAAGTCTGCTGTCATGAAGAAGGCAATCCGGGCGGTGGTGGCGCACGCCTTTAATCCCAGCACTTGGGAGGCAGAGGCAGGCGGATTTCTGAGTTCGAGGCCAGCCTGGTCTACAGAGTGAGTTCCAGGACAGCCAGGGCTATACAGAGAAACCCTGTCTCGAAAAACCAAAAAAAAAAAAGAAGGCAATCAAGAGACAGACTTACTTTGGACATTATGTTTTTCACATATGAAATTGGGAATCCAGGTTAGCCCTCCTAGATACTTTCCAGGTTAGAGAGCTCTAAATCTCTTTGTAACAAATACACTTACCCAGAAACATCAATAGAGACTCTGTTAGAACTGAGCGAAGATTATTTAGCTCATAATTCAGGTTCATTCTTATAAACAACAAGAAAACTAAAGCCCTGCATTAGATGTAGCTGTCAGGAATTTAAGACATTTTTGTTCTAGAATCTGAGATGCTATATATTGGCTCATCCAGAAAATGGATTCCAAGTGGAAATGTGGCCAGATTTTCTGGCATAGCTGTTTACCTTCCTTGAATACCTTCTGGACTCAGCCTTCAGTTGTTATCTGTATAGATTTAACTAAGTAGCTTTTAAACTTTCCTCCAATATATTTTGCATTGAGACCTAACCCACACATGCATCACCTTATCTTGGTAATAAGCTTCTCATGTAATACAGAAAACAATCTACTGTTTTCTGTTTCATTGTGAAAAGTGTTGACTTTAGACTACTGAACCATTCTGCTGTGCCTTTACCTATAGGAAAAGAGAAGTAGACTTAAGCTTTCACAGTTATGCCAAAGCAAAGCTTAACAGCCAGTTTGTTGTTAATTGTGAAATTAGACTATTTTTAAATTTGTTTTTATTTGGAACTTTTATTTAAAAATCAATAGTTAATGTCTACTAACTCTTATTTTTCTTAAAATTACATAATACAAAAGAAGATTCGTGACTATTTTTACCAGGCATATAAATACCTGTCCCCAGACCTTCAGACCTTTCCTGTTTGCTGTGGGAACGCTGGACACATTTCTCCTCATTCACGCCATACTTGTTCAGGAAAACTGACACACACCACGACGTGGGAAGGTTGGAAGGTCTTCTCTAGAGAAGTAGCTACGATGGGCAAGTACTAGGCATGGGCTGGGACAGTCCGTTCATCTTCCTCAAGCAAGAAGTTGCTGCCCAGGGCTTTACAGTTCCCCTCTGCTCCAGTACACCTTGGGGCGGCAGCGGCTGCTGCTGCTACTGCTGCTGTTCTCTTGTCATTGCTGTACACCTTGGATTTGTTTTTATTGATCAAACTTGTAAAAAAGATGAAGGAATATAAAAGCATATTTGATAATCTCTTTATTACCCTAGTCCCCTGAACCTTACTCCCCAAAGAGTAATTTTTTTTCTATTTCTCCAGAAATTTCCAATGAATATATGTATATGAATATGTCTGTATATACTCAAATACTTAGATGACTTTTTAAATTGCATGTAAAATGGGCTATATATACATATTATGTGTTTAGCTCCTCCTTGGTGAGAGGCTGTCTAGTGAATGCTGTGTTGTACCTAGTTATGCTCAGATGGGCTCTCGACTGATCGGTCTAGTTTTGATGGTATCTGGACTATTCTAGATTGCTTCCCATGAATTCCCTCTGTTGGGTGTGCTTTTGCTTCACTGCCTCCATTTTGAGACAGAGTCTGTGAGCTATAGTCAAGAATGACAGTGCATCGTGAAAGCAGATCCCTCATCCACCTTCCTCATCTGATTAGACAGCCAAGAGTAGGCCTCGTCCCCAGCCACACATGGGAGGATAAGAACTGCTCCACAGGGGAAGAGTTTTCAGCACTATAGTGAAAGAATGTTGGATTTGAAGCCTGGTAACTTGAATGTGAGATTATGGGATTAGAGGTACCAGGTCACTTCTTTTTATCCTTTTTTATCATTTGTAAATTGAGAGACTGAATACATTAGTTTTAATCCTCCTTCCAACTTCACTATGTATGTAGTCTTTTGTTGTAATGTTGGTTTAACTTAAAGGACCCAAATTATATGATTTCTGTTATTGAAATTGAACATCATATATATCATATGGTCTGTACTTCATCTGAATATGGCCTAAGCTATCTAAAAGTGTAAGGCTGTAAGAGGGAGCAAGGGGATATTATATTGTATGTCACAGAAGCATCCTTTTCTGATGGTTCTTTTTCAGTAATGTAAAAGCCCATTCCAGAAGTAATACCACAGCTTTTGGTCAAACATTGAGAAAAGAAATTGTGAAATGATATTTGCTTTTAAGTGGGTCTTGATAATTTCAATGAGTCCATCTTTTAGGAGATAATCCTAGGACTTTTTTAAAAAAATGGCTCCAAGGGCCAATAAGGTGGCTGGGCAAAGCCTGATGGCCTGAGTTCAGTTTCCAGGACCCACATAATATAAGAGAAAGCACTACCTTCAAGTTATCCCTGACCTCTTCACCTTCACATAGTGAGGACATTCTCAAATGAACAAAAGGAACTTGTAACTTTACGAGTTAGCTTCAGGCATTGTGTTGAAAATCCTTTTCCGTCTCAGCCTTCTCACTCACCCCTGGTCTCTGAAGTGCTGAAATGGGCACTACTTGACAGAATCAGTTTTCTACTTTAGTGCTGAGGAAGCAGGCTGGGAAGTGACCTGTACAAGGTCATCCTGCCACGCCACTAGAGTTAAAAGGTAACAAGGTCTGGGAGTTCTGCTGCATCACACCTAAGGTATTCAGTGGTGTCTGCTTCCATTTTGATCTCATACTTGAGTTGGACAGTAGCTGTTCCAGAAGCAAACAGCAACAACAACTCCATCTGTAGTCACAGCAGGATGGTAAGACATTTCTGAAGGCCTGGAAGTTGAGGAGTCTCTATATTTGTATGCTTATTACACTGGCTTCTTGGCAGAAGGCCTGGTATACCTTAAATAAGTGTACTTTTAAATTCTGAGTCTGCTGTTTATCCAAGTGATGGTAAGTAACTACTGCTATTTTTACTGACCAGCGTCTTAAGTGCAGGTGTATTACTGTCCTACATGTGAGTACCCTGGTGACTGAGATGACCCCACTGCAATCTCCTGACTATTCCTCTTTCTTCATTCCTGTTTTGAGACCAGGCCTCACTGCATAGACCAGGCCTGCCAGAAACTCATAATCCTCCTGTTTGTAAGTGTCACAGATGCTGGGATCCTAGGTGTGTGGCATCATGCCTGACTCCTGTTTCTCTCTTGTTTTCTATTGTCAACTGGCTTGTGGACATTAGCAAAAAAACTTGTTAAAATTTGAATTTGTGGAAATAAATAAAAACAGTTCAAGTGTTTTAAAAGAAGGCTGTTAGAGCAGTGTCATTTACTGTCAGCACCCACTGTCCGTGGATCTGCTAGGGGCTGTTTCTTATTAATCAAACTCTAGGTGGATTAAACTGTGTTCGAGTACTTGAACTAATAAGTTACAGCTCAGTGTTCCCTATTAAGATATTTGTAAGATAGGAAGCTTGTTGTCATTGTGCTTCGTACATGCTTATATGACATAGAGGCTTGGAAAAGATGATGCTGTGTTTGGAGAACACACTCTGCTAGCTTCTTTGTCAGTTCATCTAGTGTGGCATTTTCAGTGGAGGAAGTTCTCCATGGCTGGGCATATACAGGATGCTGCTGTCTACAGGATGTTTAACACACTTTCTTAAACATTTGAAGCCATTTTAGGAAAACAATTCACTGACAGCAAAATGGACCAAAAGATAACAGTTTGAGCTGAAGCAGAAATCCATTTTAAAGGGAGGGATAAAGAGGAGGAGGAGGAAGGAAAGGAGAGAGGGGGTTGGGGGAACAGAAACGGACGCATCGCTGCTCAGGTCTGACGCAGTCCTCCCTGGGAGCCCAGTGTTTGCCTGGAGTCCTGTGACACACAGTGGGAATTCACTTCCTATCAGGAAATGCTGATTTTCAATGTATTATCT